AGCACACAAGGCTTGATGAACACTTGACATGATCGTAAGTAGCTATTTGTGTCTCTGCCAGGAAAAAGCGCCTTGATAAAAATAGAAGTAGAAAAAGACAAATAGTGTGCACACATTTGTTTTTGCTATAAGTCTATACACACAAAACTTGAGACAAATGTCTATTCCAGGGGACAAGTAATGCCAAACAATAAATAACTTCGAAGCCATTCTCTTGTGGCCTGTGTAGCTGTCTCAGATATAACCATCTCTTTGAGACATAAAGGTGGTGTCAAAGGGTATTCCGTTTGCTGAAAGCAGGACCATAGAGACGAATAAAGAGCCTTTGAAGATCAAGTTTCAAAGCAGATTGAACCAGAAAGCTTTTTCAGTTTTTCTATTCAAATCACTTCTTCTTTCTGTCCAATAGCTTTGCTGCACACAACTAATGCTGCATTAAATTTCCAGACCAACATTAATAACTACTAGGAATACTATTATGACGTGGTGCTCTTAGGCATCTATCTCAATTATTAATATCAACAATAACACTGATATGTCAGTTTCAGCTTTCAGTGCAGGAGATAAAGCGACATGATGGCAAAAAGGGGGAATGGTATTATCTTGCTAATGTCAAATGCACCTAATTCATCTTGAAGATATGCTTTCACTTTATTGCCTTTTATATAAATAGAGATTCTACCTAGAAGTGTCAGCATGATTTATGGTTTATGTGGAGTTCAGTTACCAGTGCACTGCTCTGTGCTGTAAGGGAAAACAAACAGTAGAAACTCTGTCTCTGCAAACTAAATTTGGAATCTGAGACAGTAAATCTGTGACACAGCTGTGTACTGGCTCATAAGCTATCCCTACGTTCACTTCACATCAACATTGGCCCCTTCGTCTCATAAATGTAGTGCCATTGTGATATCTGCTGCCGCAAATGTATATATTAACATAAACAAGTAAGTGTGCTTATTTTGCTTGTCAGTTGGCTGAAGAACGATGTCCTAAAGCAACCGAAAACATTATTAGCAATTGTTTGAAAGCTTTATTTTGGAGAGAAACACTCATAAAAGCAGAAGTAATGTTCTCAGAGGCTCAAAAAGAAGAAGTAAGATGGCCACCTACGCCTGGTCTCAGCACTAACGTTGCTTCCCTTTGTGCAATGACAAGGACCATTCAAAAATCAAAGCATTACTAACTTTATATTAGCCAAAGAAAAAATCTATTTGGAAGATTCCAGCTGAAGCAAAAAGACAAATAAATCTAACTGGCGTGAGCTCTGACACTATTTACTCAAAAAAGTTCCAAAACTTCCCAAATAAATGCACCACTGCTCGTACAGTAGTGTTCTGGAGCAGCTTTATGAAGCATGACTGTCAGTTTCACAAACACAAAGTCATGTGAGTGTGAGTTAATAGCCTGAGAGGTTTTGGGGGAAAAAAACTCTGTTGTTGTTGGATGTGCATGTAAAAGGAATAGAAAACCAGCTTCCATGCTTCCAAAAAGATTCCTTCTCTTGCTGAAGTTCTATCTTCTCAAACATCAAGAACAACCGTATTACATTAGCAGAAAAAAAAAAGGACCACCAGTAAAAAAAAAAAAAAAAAAAATAACGATACAGCACTTTAATTAATCAAAAAGGGCAAAGTTTTTTTTGAAAAATATAGATCAAGAAAACACAATTAAGTCATCATACAACACATTATCACAATTCTGGGTGTCTGTTGGTAACGCTGCAAATACTAATTACAGAAAATTCTCTTGTGTATTAAAATCTCAGCAGGCGCTGTGTTTTGGCTTAAATAAACAGACTCACCTGGCAGATCTCGATCTTCACACGTGACCGGCAAGTTTGTGAAGAGAGTTGGTTTGGTTAACCGCATCACTATAAAGGAAAGTGTCATTGGTTAGTGACAAGACACACAAGTAGGTCAGTTACTGTGGTGATGCTTTTATATGTCACACAGGGTTTTGTTTTACACAAGACTACAGTTGATTGCAGTGGCAGCAGAAAGTGTGACCAATTACAGAAACCATCTAGAGTAAGGCTGCAACTCAAGATTGTTTTAATCTGTATATTTTTATTTGATTAAGAACAATAACATTCATGACAACATCAAAAAAAGAAATAAACTAATTTAAAAAATACATATATGTATGTATTTACATATTTGTCCAAATTTTGGTTATAGAAAATATTCTTAGAATCAAAGAATACATTTTCAGATTCAATATTAAATAATTTTTTTTAAAAAACAGTTAATGAGCGTTTTGTTCCCCCCCAAAAGCCTTTTGATAAAAATGTGCTTTCAGAGGTAGTATAAAAAAAAGAAGATAATGTGAGTGCGTGAGGTACGTCAGAGAAAATGCTCTTTC